GAGCGCTCTCAGCAACAAGAAACGCAGAGCAAACGAAAGGAGCCCGCAGCTCCCACCGTCCGTCAGGGCCCGCGCGGTGTGACGCCCAGTGTGGGCAGCCGGTGTCTAGCTGTCCCTGAAGATTAAAAAAAATAAAAAATAACAGTAGAAGTTTTGAATATTCTGCTATGCTTTTTAGAAATCCTACGAGGAAAAGACTAGGTAGCTGTTAACTTGCTGTGGGGTTTCTGTTTCTTTGCCTCACCAGCTGTGTACACAGCATGTACACCTAGCAGTGCACCAGGCACTGAGTTAGAAAATTGGTAAGACTGACCATGTCCGTCACAGCTGGAGGGTGAGACAGATGAGCACAGGCACCGTCGTCATCCCAGCTGGCCTCTGTCAATCCTTGGTGTGTGCCTGGCATCGTGCGACAGCCACTTCTCACAGTGAATCCTCACAATAACCCGCTGAGGATAGGTTTCTGGCTTTTTTTCTGCCTCTTACTGAAGAGAACTGAGTCTGAGAGAAATGAGCATGATTATTCTGTTTAGGGGCTCCTTAGGGAAGGGGTGCTCCGGCAGGGTCTTGGAGATGAGATCCAGTTCGTAAGGAGGAGGGCCTGGAGATGGCATCCCGCTCGCCCGGTCAGTGAGCGGCTCCTGAGCTCTGGCACGCGCCGGGCATCTACGGAGTGCCATACTGCCAGCGCTCAAAGGGCTCTCCGAGGGGGGCCCGGTTAGGACTAGGGAAGCCAGAGGAGGGGGCTCAGGGGCCCGGCCCGAGGCCACAGGCCCCACAGGCTGGCAGAGCCGCAGTTCCGGTCCGTGGGGCTGGTACCACGAGGCACCCAGCTCTCAGCCGGCCCTCCATTGCTTCACCGGTGAAAGGACGAGCAGGGTCCGCTAGGTGCTTCAGATGTTACGACCGAAGGAAACACTTTAGTGGGGAAGCTTTTTAGATTGTTTTTTTTTTTAAGTCTAGTTCTATTGGTCCCAGGCCATAGCGCCTCAGACTTGAGAATGCCAGGGACTGCTGGGACTGCTGGCGGGCAGGGTGGTGCTCAGTGCCCCCTCACTGAGTCTGCAGGTCAGATAGGAGACTCACTGCCAGCCCCCTGTCTTCCAGATGTGATGGACGTCGCATGGTCTCCCCATGACGCCTGGCTGGCCTCGTGCAGTGTGGACAACACTGTCGTCATTTGGAACGCTGTCAAGTTCCCAGGTCTGGGCCCCCTCTGACCGGAACGGGCCACCCAGCAGAGCGCTGCCTGTTGGTGTCTGGGGCGGGGTGGGCGCAGGCCCCCTTCACCTGGTGGCAGCAGGTATCTCACAGTGGACGGAGATTCGTGTGTCTTGCTGACTCAGTTCTTTTTTCTTCCTCAGTTACATTTGTTGAACCAAAATGTTGAAGGTTTTAGAAGAAGTTTGTGTTAAAAAAAGTAACAGTGCTTGTGTGGATGTGCCACCACCATAAGGGAGGTGTGCTGACAGCTAGTGTTGGGGGCCTCGCCCAGCTTGTGCCCGGCTTGCCTGCACCCGGGCTGTGCTGTCACATGCACAAGGGTGTCCGGCACCCCCACATGTGCCCTTCAAGGCTCCACTTCCCACCTTTGGGCCCTGGCCTCAGCTCACTTGCCATCTCCTCTGTGAGGCCCTTGAGCAGGTGCAGGTTGACATCCAGTTTTGCCAAAAATGAATTTTTCTTATTAATGTGTTTAAAATAATGATAGCTGGCCTAGCACATCACAGTGCTGCCATTTATGACTAACAGGGTGCTTGGCACATTCGTGCTTGGTATCTGAGGTATATTTCCTCATGGGCTAAAAAGCATCACCCATGCAGCTGATCCAGTCATTTTCTTCCTTTGTAAGCTGGCAGCACATGCAGGGACATTCAGCCTGGCCACAGAGGACCAGATTTAGAGGCCCAGGTGGCATGTGGGTTACAGATCTCAGTGAGGTGCTGCCTCACACGCCTGTGTCCTCAGCACTGCCTTACAGAGGCCTCGCTAGCATATGTCCACCCCCAGCTGTCTGGCCTGCTCCTTCCTGGGGAGTTTCCGGGGAGGCTCACATCAGAGGTGCTGAAGTCAGCCCAGGCGGGTGTGAGCTTCTGTCTGGACAGGGAAACTGCGGGCAGGGCTGCCAGCTGCTGATGAGACAGAGGCAGAATTTGGCTCTGGCCCAAGCCTGGGCCCCTGGTTGCGGGTCCCTGGTGGGCATGTGCAGCCTCAACTTACAGAGTGTTGGGCATGGCCGATGGGAGAACACCGTGCCTGCCTCCTGGTGCGGCTGCTCTTCAGGCTGCTGTCGCCACGGTGGGGATCGGTTTGAGGGACGACTGCCTGTGCCCAGGGCGGCTTCCCGAAACCGCTTCTCCAAGCCAGCCATTTTGTAGCCTGTTTATTGCAGGTCACATCTCCGTAGAGAGTCTGGAGTTCCTCCCAGCTGACGCCTTTCCAATCTCTCGCTTTCTTCACAGAAATTCTGGCTACTCTGAGAGGTCACTCTGGCTTAGTAAAGGGGCTGACTTGGGACCCTGTTGGTAAATACATTGCCTCTCAAGCTGACGACCGCAGCCTGAAGGTGTGGAGGACACTGGACTGGCAGTTGGAGACCAGCATCACCAAGCCTTTCGATGAGGTAATGATGCGGCCCAGAAGCTCCGTCAGCGGCGTTCCTGGCCTCCATGCTCAGACGAGGTCCCACCTCCTGAGCACACCAGTCAGGGTTCTCTGGCGGGGGCTCTGGCCCAAAGAGTTAGATGATGAAAATCTTTCATTTTTCAGGTACTTTAAATGTCCAGCTTTGAAGTGAAAGGATTGATAAGTTTTAAAGCTGAAGAAAACCTTAGAGGAACCTGCACACCATTGTGCCACACAGCTAGCTGCCACAGCCGTGGATGAAACTTTCTCACCACGTGCTGTGCCTCCTCACGAGGGGCGCAGCTGAGCAGGGAGGGCCGAGCCCCCTTGGGTGTTTTCCTGACTGCTGTGGCTTTGCCCACTGACTGCAGGCCGGCTAGCTTCTCTCTTTGGTAGAGCCAGTAGTATGGTTTTCAAGGAGGGGTCAAACTGTAGTGGCTTTGGTAGTATTTTACTGTCTCTTCCTTTACCTGAGTTCTCATCTATAGGTGATCAGAGCTCAAGGTCACTGTTATTCATTGGACATTTCTTAAGTGCCAAATGTGTGTAAGGCAGTACTGGGTACAGGACGTGGAAGTAGGTTGAGGTGGAGTCTTTCCATTGAAGCTTAGAGCTGGGTGGGAAAGACACACTCATGTCACTTGTGAGCCCTGTGACAGAGTTGGCAAGGCTTGGTAGAAATGGCCTAGGAGGGATCACAGAGATGGCTTCTCAGAGGAAGGGACACAGTGACATTTTGCAGGAAGGATAGCCACTTGTCTAGGTCAAGGCTGGCTGCGGGGGGACATGGGGATCATGTATTCAGTTCTCCCCAAACCAACAGCAGCTCCTGAACTCGACACATTAGCACTGGTATTCACCTCGCTTAGTCCTGCCATCTTTGGCTGCAGCCGGTGCAGGGGGCGCGGGCCCTCACACCAGTTCCTCAGGGCTCCAGCTGCCAGGCAGCGAGGGTCCCAAAGCTGGGCTCCTGGGGGCAGCTGTGGGGAGCGGAGCAGGAGTGTTTGGGACCCTAGCGGGAGCTGGCAACACTCTGCAGCCCTGGTTAGGCCTGGCCTGCCTCAGTCTGTGGCCTGCCTGGAAGTTGATGCAGGTGCGTCACTATAAGCTTTGCCTTTTCCTGCCTTCCTCTGGGACCAAGACCTTCGCTGTTAAGTCTTTAGGGCTGCCCTGGACCAACCTGGAGCTTCAGGGGTCTGACTTTTGGCCCAAATCATCTCACTTTGCAGGAGGGACAATGTGGAGGAATGCTCTGCCCCAGCCCTCAGGCCAGACCAGGGGAACAGTGCCTTTCCACTGTGCGTTTTATGGTTTACACAGACTTTACAAGCCTCTTCTCCCTTGCTAGTAACTTCACCAGGCTTCCGGTGAGGAGACAGGCATGAGAGAGCAGCTGGTGGCACCTGGTCACAGACTGTGTCACAGGAACAGCCCCCTGAGGGTCAGAAGGGCTCTTTCTCCATGGTGGTGAGGGCTCTGCAGGCCCCAGGGGGCGGGGAGGGCTAACTGGTGCTGGACGGGAGAAAGGGGGCAGCAGCCACCACACAGGACTGACAGCTGGAAGAGGCGGCCTGTGGCACCGTCGGGGCCGGCACCCCCATTCCAGGCTCACGTCCTGGGGGACGTGTAGGATGTTGCAGCGCCTGATCTCAGCCAACACCACCTTCCTTGTTGGGTCCCCTGGGGAGACGGGAGTTAACAGCTGTAGTGTAGCTAGGCCTGGGTGTACATTGTCCCACCATCATACTTCTGTAAGTTGAGTTCAGCTTTATTCTTGAGACCAGAGTTTGGTCACAGAGTTGGCCTTTGAGCTCTTTTAAGCACAGGTGTTTCTTGCAGTGTGGGGGGACAACGCATGTGCTGCGGCTCAGCTGGTCACCTGACGGGCACTACCTGGTGTCTGCCCACGCCATGAACAACTCCGGCCCCACCGCCCAGATCATCGAGAGGGAGGGCTGGAAGACCAACATGGACTTTGTCGGCCACCGGAAGGCTGTGACCGTTGTGGTGAGTGTGCTCAGCGTCAGGCTGGCCAGTTGCTGGCAGTACCTCCCCAAGGCTGGGTGCCTTGAGGGAGTGGAGTGGTAGGCTCCAAGATTCAACGCATGCCTCATTCTTGTTTCAGTTTACTTCTGTTTCAGTATTGAAAAACTAATTTTACAAAATAGATCACATACCCATTTAAGAAGCAGACTTTAGCATGATGAGCATCACCAGAACAGCCTCTGATTGGGAACGGCGTAGCCCTAGCCTTCACACCTTTGGGCAGCTAATAAGTACTCAAGCATGGTGGTCCTGCTGAGCGTGTGCTTGTTCCCATGTCCCGGCAGCAGTGGCCAGTCGTGGCTGCAAGCAGTGCAGTGGGTCACCTAGAGCACTTGTCCTGCATCTGGAGCTACCCACCTGATCGCAGTGTGGAGGGCACAGGTGCCCAGTATGGGCTTCTGTTAATCTTTCAGTCTCAAAAGGGTATTAGGCCACACCTTTTATGCTGGATGACTTGAACTGAAGAGAGTTAGAGAGTGCCCGAGGCAAGCTGTGGAGTAGTTGCAGACAATCTGTGAGAACCAGGATTTTCCAGGCCTGGGCAGCCAAACAAAGTAGAGATCAGAAGGCTAAGGTTGGTAAAGGGGAAGGACCCCCAGGACCCCAATCACAACTTTTATCTTCATCAGGGGGCTCATCCTTCTCATTGTTTAAACTGATGATAAATATCATATACTGTGACTTAAAATTCATACAAATGAAATATTGTTTCTTTAATTTTTTGTATGGGAGTCTATGTAGGATTTTGTTTGAATCCAGGACCTTGTTACCGACATGTTTCCTGGTCAGCACATGGCTTGCTCTTGCGTGGCCCTCCCAGCCACTGTAACGGCCGCGCTGGGAGTTGGCAGCTGGGGCCTTGCAGCAGGCCCAGTGGTAGCAGGGACTCGAGCCAGGGTGCACACCTCCGGGCTCCATGTCCTCCCATCTCTCTCCTCCTGCCCATCCCTGCGTGCCTGCTGGGATTAGAACTCCTCTGGGCCACCGGGCCCCAGGCCCCTCCCGCCTGTCCTGGCTGGAGGATTCCGACCCTACTGCTCCCACTCCTTTCAGCCCAGGGAGGCGGCGGGGAGCTCAGTGTGTGCGTCCAGCCTTTCTAAAAGCATCACCCAGGTGACAGTGGAGGCAGCCCCTGGGCCGACCCAGCGTGACTCAGCTGTCATCCCTGGCCCCGCAAGGCAGTGCAGCCTGTGAGCAGCAAACACAGTGCTGGGGTGGATTAACGGAACGGGCCTCTCCTGGCCGTCCTGATGACCACCGTCCCCGTGACCAACTCCGTCCCTGCAGTCCTGGTGCTCACCCTTCCTGGCCAGTGGGAATTCAGAGAGCCGGCTTCAGTAGCGCTCACACCGTCAGCCTGGCAGCAGGCCCAGACCCAGCAAGTGGGGAGAGCCAGTGTCACGCCCGTGCCTAGCCGCTCACTCACCCGGTGCTTCACACATGCCTTTTGGCCTCTGCTCCTCCTTCAGCCTCAGCAGGGCGCCTCCTCGGAAGTCATGAAGATGCAGTCAGGCTGGGGGAGTGTCTGGGGCCCCCACCTAAGAGCCGGCTCCAGAATGCGTTTCTCATATGAGGCACAGGGTGCATACTTGATGCTTGATTAATCATTTTCACTTTTGTTATTTGGCTTTAGAAATTCAACCCGAAAATCTTCAAAAAGAAACAGAAGAATGGGAGCTCCGCGAAGCCGAGCTGCCCCTACTGCTGCTGTGCGGTGGGCAGCAAGGACCGCTCCCTGTCCGTCTGGGTGAGCCCCCCGGGAGCGTGCTGCCCTGAGGGGAGGCCCAGAGGGGGGGGACCCCGCTCTGGTCATGCTCAGCGGGCACCTCCGCCCTGCGCCTGGAGCAGCCCCGCCGTCGCCCTGGGGGGAGCAGGTGCTGAAGGGGGGCCTGCACGCAGCTAGGAGGGGGCTTGACCCCCAGCCGGAGCAGCTTTTGTGCCCAGACCCAGGGAGCGCCCTCGCTGGGCAGTGCCAGGGTCAGCACTTTGTGTTTGCTCCCTTTTAAACCAGCCTTGGTATCGCCATTTAAGCTACGTGAGTGTGTTTGCCCGAAGTGTGCAGTATAGCTCAGAGCCTTGTTCGTGCGTTCACGCTGGCGTGACAGCTGCCCAGAACACCTCCTGTCCCTGCCAGTCCCCAGTTGCCTCTTCCAAGGTTGCCACTCTTAACAACGTTCGTCACATAGATGAGTTTCTCCTGTTTCTGTGCTTCATGTAAACGGAGCGTGCAGTGTTTACTTTCCTGTGTGTCGTGTTGCTCTCACTCGGCGTGGTGTTTTCCAGATTCATCTGTGCTGTTGCATTTAACAAAGGCTTTCAATTTCCCCCTAAGCAGAGTGGATCTGTAGTTGTAGATTTGAAGGTCATCCTCTGGCTTCACTGTTACAGTTGTTTGTCAGTCAGGGAGAAATCAATTGCTGTGCACGTGATTTTTTCAGGCCTAATATTCACGTAACACCCATTCCAGCACCCAAACACTGTGCCACGAGAGGCATTTTCAGGCATGTTCTTCTGGTCTGGGGCTCTGTTCGTGGTGCTTTAGACAAAATGCTACTGATTATGTGCTCATGTTTTTAGAATGCTGTGGTCAGGTGTTCACACAGGTTCCAGATTTTTTAGGGGTCTGTAGACACATTTTTTGGAAGGAGGGACAGAGTTATTTTTTTCTGGATGTGGAATCAGGGTAGGGGCAAGATTCTTCTTACAGATTCCATGGCCTAGACTCCAGCCCCCTCCTTAGGACGAGGGCGGTCCCAGGATGTCCTCCTCTGCAGAACTGTGTTTCCACCAATCGGCTGCCCTGTGGCCCCAGGACTTGTCAGCAGGATGGTCATATACTAGCAAATGAAAGATGGCTGCCACTGTGGGAGGCCGTGGGAACGTGGAGATAACACACGGCCTGGTGTCAGTGACTAGATAATGAGATTGCACATGGTGAATGTCACACAGTCATCAAAGACGGGCTTTTACAGGATATTTAATGATATTCTCACTGTTCATGAAATTGAAAGCAGGTGCACCTTGTGCCTTAGTTAAAAAGGTAAACATTTGCACAAGATAGACCAAGAGGAAATAATTCATCAAAGCATTAATAATGGGTAACTTTGGGTCTCGATTAAAAGCAGCACAAACTTTTTGTGCATTTCTGAACTTTCTGCGCCCACTGTAGAATGAGCCTGTGGATGTATGTGGCAGTTACTTACTCCAAGCCTTGCATAAATGTGTGCCAGAACTCCCTGGGCCCAGAGAAGATGTGCTGGGTTTTCTCTGAGGCTGTTCTCCTGTCCTGGAAGCTGCTCTAGCTGCCTCATGCCTTGTCTGTAGACCCTCTCTGCTCAGGCCATGAGCCTTCCAGAACCCCTTCCCCATTGCCAGTTGCGTGTAGAGCCATCCCCCTGCCAGTCACAGCAAGCCCTTCAGGCAGGGGCCACTCTAGTTTGCATATGTTTGGCAGGCTCTGGTTTCACAGTTTGGGATCTTGGTGGTTACTGGTTAAATAGAATTGACTGTGCCCTCTGTGTCAGCCAAAACCTGGGCTAACACTTTTAGGACTGGGCTGAGTGGACAAAAAGTGGTTTCCATTCATTTCTTAACCGTAGCTGCTCCTTTCCTTCCAGCTCACATGTTTGAAACGGCCTCTGGTTGTCATCCATGAGCTGTTTGACAAGTCCATCATGGATATTTCCTGGTAAGATGGATTTCTGTTAGATGTAATGGGCTCAGAAAGTAGAAGCCACACATTGGAACATGAGGCCTCCTGGACGTGATTAGGGTCAGGCCGCTGGGGGCCCACCCAAGGGTAGTGACAGGAGCAGACCCCCAGGGCGCTGTTTCACACATGGCCCAGGAAAGGGCATCTGAGCCTGTTGTCGGGGGCGTGCCTGCAGCTGCGCGCGGCTCCATTGGGATTTGCCCCCGTAGAACACCTTCTCGGGCAAACTGGTGCTGATCCGGTCCCACTTCGCTCTCTGCCATCGCATGGCCCTGTTAGCACAGACGTGAGACACATTTTCTGCTTCTCTGTGACCTCATTTAGATGTGCTCTCCCTCACATTTTTTAGAAAGGTTTCAAAAATAAAAAAAATGAAATTCTTAAAAAGCACATGGTGAGAGATACTTTGTACATGTGCTTAGAACCAAAGGTCACTAGAACCTTTTTGAACATTCCATTTCCTCCATCCCTACCCCCACCCTGCCCAGGAGGGAGCCAGGGTGACGGGCATCTGCCTAGAGCCCTGCCTTGCCGCCCTCCTGAGCCAGCCCTGAGGCGTGGGTGAGCGCTTGCTTCCAGGCTGCTGACAACTGTCTCTTTCAGGACTCTGAATGGGCTGGGCATCCTGGTGTGCTCCATGGATGGCTCAGTGGCGTTCCTAGATTTCTCCCAGGACGAGCTCGGAGACCCGCTGAGCGAGGAGGAAAAGGTAGGAGAGCGACCCGCCGCTGACCAGCGGCCTGTGTGCTGCGGGGCCACAGAAGTAGCCACGGCAGCGCTGGGGGGCCCCTTTGATAGGACTGTCTTCCTGTGACATAGACACATTGTTTCTTAAGGTATTTTAGGGTTTGCTTCTGTAGATTTTGATATTTCTCTCCTTTATAAAATAGAGAAACTTAAAAATTAGTCTCTATTCATGTCAGAAATCAGTTCTGGAATTAAGAACAAAACAACTTTGGGCATCCCCTTGAACTCATGATCAGCCACAAACTGGGAGGTTTTCACCCTGGGAGAGAGTGGGAGAGGGTCCCTGCTCACATCACTGTCCCCATTTCTTGTACTGACATAATTGCCAGGACCAGCAACTGTAATATTGGTTGTTTCTTAGCACTTACTGTGTGCCAGACTCTGGGTCATGCATTTTGCACATATCCAGTTAAATTACACAAAACCCTTTAAGGGCTTACTCCTTTCATTGATGAGGTAACTAAGCTTCAGAAGATAGTATGGCCCTTTGCTGAGACCGTACATGACCCTCAGGTGAGAATGGAGCATGAACTAGGGGCTTCTGGGCCAGGCCTTTTCTCTGTGCTCTGCCCAGGACAGGGCAGGCCTTGTGCACTTCCTCAAGGGCATTGGGAACCTACCATTGGTTTAGAAAGCAATTTCTACAAATAGGTCTTTGCTAACACTCAGTGGAATATATTCGTTTGAGCCTTGTGATAGCTGAGCAGGTGGGCAGCTCTCCCCTTAGTGATGTGATTGCTGGTAGATGCCCTCTTAAGCTACTGTGTGGACCCCCCACTGTGATATATACCTCTTAAGGGTAGGAGTCTGCCTTGTTGACAACACTGGAACAGGGCCTGAACGCCCTGACAGTCAGAAGGGATGAGTGTCTCGGGGGCCTTAGATCTTTCTGCCTTGTCAGTGTCATAGGGTAACCCAGGATCACTGCACACCCCTTGGAGAGTCAAAGTGGGAGCATGTATAAGAGCTCACCATTTCCCAGACAATAGGCAGAGACCTCGTGTTTCAGGAACACCAGGGAAACATCAGCCACATTCTAAATTCTGCCTTGAGATTCCAAGGGAGGGATTCAGGGGAGAGGTGGCAGGAGCCAAAAGGGCAGAGAGGAAGGTCCCTGGCCATAGGCAGGCACACTAGCCTTCAGGAGCCGGTCCTGAGGGGCCACTGCCCCTGCCTAGCATCCTTTGCTGTGAGGAGCACGCCGTCCCGACCTCTTTGTGTGAGTCTGCTCCCCTGGGGACCGCTGCCTGGCCTGTAGCATAGGAGTGATGAGGCCTGGCAAGATGGAGAGAGGGGCCCTACTTAAAAGGTCAGGATGCGTTGGGGCGGTGACAGAGAAGGGTTCCACAGCTCTGCTGGGCCAGACCTTCCCTTACTGTTAGAGGCACTGTTAGCAGCCCCATGGCACCCTCCAACCCCAAGGGACTAAGAGCTGCCCACAAGAGCAGGGAAAGCAGACTCTGGGTTTCAATATCTGATCCCCAAAACGTGTTTGGGGTCCTTAGAGTGATTTAAGAGCCATAAATTAACATTTGAGTGTCTGTTGCCATTCATTCTGCACCAGCTATGTGTTTTCTTCTCAGTTACCCATTCACTCTCATTCCCAGCTATAGATACACAGGAGGGTATCTGGGGAGGGTGTAAGACTTCTTTAGGGTCATCTAATCAGCAACAGGCAGAACGAGGTGGGTGGCAGCGGAGAGCTGGCACCTGGGACCCTCTCAGGGCCCTTTCCGTTCCCAGAGCCAGGAGGGCCGGCATGCAGCTGGCCCGCTGGTGGGCAGCATCCACCACGGTACTGCTCACAGCCAGTTTGTTGCACTTCTTTCCACTTCCCTTAGAGCCGTATTCACCAATCCACCTATGGCAAGAGTTTGGCCATCATGACTGAGGCCCAGCTGTCCACAGCTGTTATCGAGAACCCTGAGATGCTCAAGTACCAGCGCAGGCAGCACCAGCAGCCAGACCAGAAGGGCACCTCGGCGAGAGAGACAGGCGTCGCTGCCTCGGTCGCTGGCGTTGTCAATGGGGAGAGTCTGGAGGACATCAGGAAGGTGCGGCCACAGCCTGGGCACCAAGGACACAGACCCGTGCCCAGAGAAGGGCGAGGGGAGCAGGGCAGGGACACAAGTGGTGGGGTGGTGGCATGTGCTGTAAACAGACAGGATCCAGAGATAAACCAGCTTGGGGCTGCCTGACCCCCCTGCCATCAGCCGCATGAGGTAGTAACGAGCCTGAGGCACCTTCATCAAAGGCCTCTTTGTCCCAAGGAGCTGTAGAGGTTATCTCTTGTAGGAACTTCTCAACCTCACTTGCAGCCTTTCTAGGCAATTCTAGGTAATTCTAGATACAGAGAACAGTGGGAGAAACTCACTGCCCTTAGGAGACACCTGTGGGCTCCCCACTTTCCCTGTGGAAGCCCGTGTCTCACGGGGGGTGGGGCTGGAGATGGGGCCGGAGCAGAGCAGGAAATGTTGGATCACCTTGGGAGCTTAAACCACATCTGAGCGCTTGTGCAGGGTGACAGTCTCCCCAGGTGATGCACACCGTATATGACTGGGAACCCTTGGTTATAAGCCTTCCATGGAAGAAAGGATTCTGATGAAAGACAGCTGCCTAGTCATGGCTTAGGGACAAGAGTGTGGCTCGTAGTGCAGCTCTTATTCGTTAGTTCCCTCATCGAGACCCATGGCTGCTGGGCAGGGGTGGCCAGCCGGACACATGCTCGTGCCCGGTGACCTGCCATGCCCGCAGTGCTGGTGCTAGAGAGCTGCTGAGGCTAGTTAACTAGGAGCTTCTGTCCTGGATGCTTTACTGTACAGGAAGTTGAGCATATACCCTGATAAAAACACTTGCTATTTTATTCAGTGGCTTAGTTTAAGTGGACCAGGAAAGCCATAAAAGGAAAGTAGAATTCATTTCCTTAGAAATCTTACTTTTTGATATTTGGAGGTAGTTGGCAGAAACTTTTCCATTCTTTTATGTCACTCTACTTTGCCAGAATCTTTTGAAGAAACAAGTTGAGACTCGGACGGCAGATGGTCGGAGAAGAATCACACCTCTCTGCATAGCACAGCTGGACACCGGGTATTCATTCACTCATGGAGCTTTCTGTGGCCTTCTCTGGGGAGGTCTTCCTCTATCCTTGCGCCCATTAGCACTTTCATAATCAGGGTCTTCGCAAGCTTCTGGGTCAATCTGATCCATAGAATCTTGAAGTGAGGTTGTTGAGCCCAGCTCCCCACAGAGCCCCAATGCACACCTGACTTGTGCTGCAGGCGGGTTGAGAGGATCCTGCGACAGGCTGGCAGACAAGGGCACCTTTGCAGTGCCAGCATGTCCACACAGCTAGCCCTGCTTCACTGATTGCGAGGCACTGAAGACACCAGGCAGAGAAGTCAGACTGATATTTTCCTGTGTCTTTTTTCTCATTAAAGCTTTTTCTTATTATGAAAAGAAAGTTTGCACATTTTTAAAAATAGTAAAAGCCCTAAGAAGGACATAAACATTACTCATAATCCAGTCTCTCAGCTGTAATCACTGTTAATATTTTGGTTATGTATTTCCAGTTTTTTTTCCCCACTTGTCCCTGTATCTTGACCTTATATCCATTTTAATAAATAGTCCTCTGAAGCATTGACTTGCTGATTGTCCAGGTTCCCAGCCTGTGACTGTACCATGATTTACTTAACCAGCCCCTTAACTAAAAACTATGGACTCACAGTTTTTGCCCACTGTTGTGTGATGATAAATGAATCGTTGAGCACACCTGTGATTGCCACCATAGGGTACTTCCCACAAGTGGCACTGCTGGGTAGAGGGCAGGGCTTAAAGCACATTTCTCTGAGGCATCAGAGAAGGAATAGGCGGACTCAGTCACCATTTGTTGTCCTGTCAGCATCTGTATCAGGGCTTGCCTTTGTATTGTTCATTCCCCCCAAAACAATGTGTGTTGATTCAAAGGATGGTATGGTCCTGTCTGAAGGAAGCAGACCCCCGCTGTCAAGGCGATCCACCCTGGGTTTTATACTCACCCAGCCAGTCTGCTCGGGGTGCCACACACAGGTTGTCCTCTGCACTTTGCAGTTGTTCATCCATGAGCTGTTCCAAATCTTTGTTGAAGTCTGGCGAGACCTTCAGTCATGTGATGTGCTGATCCAACCTCCACATGTTAGGTACATGGGCTCTTAGGTCTTAGAGGACAGAGGCCTGACCAGATGGAGCCAGAATCAGGCCTCCTAACTCCTCCCAAGAGAGGTTTTCCTTTGATCAAGTCTTTTTCCTGCTGTGCACCTACAAGGGGTGATGGCACCCGTCTACATTTTATTAGGGCAAAATAAGACAAGTACGTGACTGTGCTTTGAAGAGCGCAGGGCCTGTGGGAGTGAGGATCGTAGAGGTGGTGGTGATGGTGATGGTGATGGTGGCACTTCTGTTCAGCGATACTTGCAGGCCTCACCTGGTGAGGAGGCAGAGGTGGCAGTTGGCTTCCTGCCTGGCCTTGAGCCAGCTTTCCGCCACAGGGTGCATATTTCTGGCACCAGACTCGATTTTTTTGGTCTTACAGGCTTTTTTGCCCTCCTGACTCCAATGTTAAAACAAATAGCAATGGCATAGGCAGTTATTAGCTCAGCTAATCAAGAAAGAGAAGAAAAAGCACAAGTATGTAAAGTAGAAATAATCACAGATATAAATCAAAAGGATGAAAAACTTCTTTGCTGAACTGCTTCAAATAAATGAATGAAGAAAATAAAATTACCAAAGCTGAAAAAAATCTATACAAATGAATTATAGAAGGAATATAGAGGACACTGTCAAAGAGCTAGACTACCAAAAGCCACCAGACTTAGAAGCCTTCACAGGGAAATTGTAACAAACTTTTTTAAGGAACAGATCATTCTAATACTATCGAAAATTCTCTAGTGTGTAGAAAAAGAAGGAAACCTTGCAAAATCTTTTTCAAAATAAACCCAATATTTACATCAAAATGTGGCAAAGATAGAACAGAGTAAATTCCTGATCGATCTCCTTTCTGTCAGTGCAAATAAAATAGTGACAAACAGAACCTTCCAATGTGCTAGAATGGCAAAACAGTATGACCAAGTAAGGCTCATTCAGAGAGGCGACCTGGTTCACATTTTGGGAAACTTAATTTGCCTTCTATATGTCAAAAGATCAAAAGGAATAAATTATATAGACATCTTAAGATACTTAAGAGGCATTTTATTAAATTCAGTGTTCTGATCTAAAATTCAGTTAAATAGGAATAAATGGATGCTTCCTTAAGTTGATAAACTACCTTATTTCAAATTGAGTTGAAAAACTCAAGAAATGTATACTTTCATGACTGTAATTCAACATTGTTGTAGAGGTCCCAAACCATACAGTCAATCAGGAGAAAGGGTAAGTTGGAAAGGAGGTGGCAAAGTGCGCCGTCGCTTAGAGACGATGCGATCCTACAAGAGAGTCACTGGAGAAGGTGCAGCAGGCCAGAGAAGGAGACAGAGGGCTGGATACGCCGACATGATCGGATCGAGTAGCACCGGCTGCCTTCAGAAGGTGAAGAGGAAGAGACCACTCACACAGGTGCAACACCTAGAGCGGGAGAGGGCCTGGAGAAGACGTTTATGAAGAAAAACTATGAATCCTACTGAGAGACCTACAAGACAGTTCAAAGAAATAACTAGACATGCACACCGTTTATTAGCTAACATGACTCAACAACAACGAGGACCGATCTCTCTCAACTTATGAATGTGACATGAGCCACTTCCAATAACCACAGGAGTTTCCAGAATCAGAGGAGCTGATTCTAAACTTACGCAGGAAATTAGAAAGGAATAGCTGGAATATTTCTGAAGAAGAAAATTAATCGTAGAAAGTAGCCCCACTAGAAATTAAAACTTTAAGCCGTAATAACTAAAATTGTGAGGTACGGACACATGACTAGACAGAGCAGGGGGGTACAGCAGAAACCCAGAAATAAGCCCAAGTATTCATGGAAATTTTGCATCAGTGATGAAGCATCAGCTAATCCAAAAACGGGAGTCAGGACCGCCTGCCCTTTGGAAGCAGACCGGGAGCCCTACCTCGCAATGTAGAATTATTTAGTTCTCAACAGCGCAGAGGTTCTTTTTTTAGCTTTTTTCTTTAATTTCTTTGGTATTTAACATTTTAGAAGAGTTCATAAAAAGAAGATCTTAGAAGTAAAAAAAAAAAGTCTTCTCTACAAGTGGTGCAAAATTTAGAGTACACAAAAATAACATACTGAGGGCAAGGAAAATTGTACCATGAAGAGCCAAAACACAGTATCCTGGGAAAAACACTTACTGCTCATATAAGGAATTTTTTTCAAGTATAAATAGGTATTACAGTCACTAATAAAGACCGCTAACCAAAGAGAACAGGATAGGAAGGATATGAACAAATAGTTCACCAAAAAAGGAAATCAGATCCTTCTATATGAAAAAATCTCAACCTCCCATTAAAATAATGGTAAATTAAAACTCTAGTAAGGTACAATTTTCATCAGATTGTCAAGTGCCAAGAGATTTGATAAAACTGTGGTGAGAGTCTGGGGAAGTGGGCACTCAGACACTGCTTTTAATTTAAACCTCGAAGGAGGGCACTATAAAACCCTTTACCAAAATTCATCAGTGACTGTTGCACTGCTGCGGTTCCCCTTCCAGGGATTTATCCCGTGTAATATGTGGAACAGCAGGTATGCTGACAGTTGTGAGAGTGAGCACCTTTGAGCAGCTACTATGTGTTCTAAGTGTGTGCTACACTGACTACTTGAGTCCTGACAGTGACCTCATGGGGAGGGTCCTGCCACTCTCTGTTCTGCTGGTAGGAACCTGAAGCCCAGAGTGGCTGAAGTGCCCAGGGGTCCAGAGCTTGTACATGCAGAGAAGGGAGGCCCGGGCGGGTTGGCCTACCCAGGGCTCAGCCTTAGCACTGCAGTACCTTGTCTCCTGCTGCAGCGGTGTCTCCTACAGAAGGAGCTGGGGCACGGCGCGGTCGCCCCTCAGTAGAGGCTGGTTAGGTAGATGATGGCACACCCATATGGCCATAATGAGAGGGAGACCAACCTGCTCTGTGTGCTGCATTAGTTCTGACACGTACGTTTGCACATTTTAATATCCCTGAGATCAGGGTACATCTTATAATCAGTGGCAGCTGACAGTTATATTTGGTAATACTTTTTTTCTTCCTCAGTGGTACATCAAGTGCCAGTTTACCTTAGATTCAATTAAACATCCTGTATGAAGTGATTTGATTTTTCCTTCCACTTTTCTGTAACTTTACAAATTTATTCCATGAAAATACATTGCCTTTGGATCCAGAAAAGAGTTACTGAGAATGTATAAAGTACTTGATGTGGTGCCTGGTATCTGAGGCCTGCTTTTGTTCTTGACGACAGGGACTTCTCCACGGCATTCTTCAATAGCATCCCACTCTCGGGCTCCCTGGCAGGCACCATGCTCTCCTCTCATAGTGATGCGCAGCTGCTGCCCCTGGACCCCAGTACCCCCAACTCCTTTGGCGCCTCGAAGCCTTCCACAGAGCCTGTGGTGGCAGCTGGTGTCAGGCCTGTGGGTGACTCTGTCAGTAAGGACAGGTGAGTGGGTGCACCAAGGCTCGCTCCTGCCCCTGGGGAATGTTCAGATTTGGACACATTTCCAGCGACATAGCCTGTGGCCCCCTTCAATAAAAAAGAAAGAAAGAAAGATATGCTTGATTTCAGATGAGGGCCTCCTTGGAGACCTTGTTCAGGTGAGTCTCGGATACACAGGGCCATGAGGACACCATGTCCTGGGGAAGATGCAGTCCCAGGGTTGGGCTGCTAAGGGCAGGAACCAGCATGAGACTCATCACCTGCTGCAGGGTCAGCCCCACCTCCCTGCAGGTCAATGCCAGAAGTGGCGTAGGCCTCCACTGCACCATTGAGAGCATCTCCACACCAGTCATACTAGGGTGTTCATGTGCGGAGGTACAGGCTCCTCTGACACTAAGAATTACATTTGCTTAGGGAGCCCACATCCTCACTGACCATTACCTGGAAACCACATCAGAAGTCAGAAAGGACCAGGTGAGCATGAATAAGAGCCAGGAACTGTTCACTTAGCAAGGGTCCCCTGGGCAGAAATGGCCAGCCATCTGAGGGGCTGGAGAGCGGTCCTCAGGCAGGCTTCTCAGAGGGGGCCCTGCCCAGGGCCCGTCAAGCCACCCAGGGGAAGATGGGGACAGTGGTGACTGCAGAGCCCCAGGCCCCAGAGGAGTGGTGGGAAAGGGGGGAGAAAGCCAGGCTTCTGTGCTGAACCAGGTACTCCAGGCCTCTCACTACAGTGGGTTCACAGAAGGCTCTGGGACTCACATTTAAGAAGGTCACTCTCACAGGCCTTGGCACCCAAATTCAGCAGCTGTCCAAGCACAAACTGATACTGTTAGAGTGACTCTGTTGGCGAGGACAGGGTCGTGTGTCACCACAGCCTCTCTGGGCTCTGGTGTCATGGCTGTGGAGCATGTACCATGTGTCAGGTGTCACATCTCTGCGGGAAGTGTGAGGGCAGCTGGGAAGAGGAGGAGATGGGGCAGCAAGACCAGGTAGGGCGGAAAGCATCCATTGGGGCGGTGGGGGGTGTTGGGGAAGGACAGGCAGCTTCTGACCTGCACAGTACTTCAACGGATGGCCCTGCAGGTGCTAGGGGAGAGGGCTGGCCATGGTGCCTGCCAGGTGTGTGGAGTGGGCTCCAGGCAGGTGGATGTGGTCAGATGGAGACCCAGTGAGTCGGGGCCCGGCATGTTGAGTGTCCTTGGGTGCAGGGGAAGCTGGTCAGCTGTGCCTGAGCCTCTCCTTCCTCTGTAGAGTAGACGGCCAGGGCTCTGGGTGAGCACTTGGAGGAGAGCGTGAAGAATGTGTGATTGTCAAGGTGAGACAGGAGGGGCCATGCAGGCTGAGGATGAAGGCCAGGAGTGGAGTGCAGCTGCAGGCCCCTCTGGGGGCTCCTCTCATCAGGCCTGTTGTCAAAGCGGGTAAAGCTCGTAGTGGAAGTAGCTTTGCATGAAGGTGCTGGATTCCAGCTGTGCAGACGGGGCTGTATGATGAGTAAAAAGTCGGTAAGAACTACTGTCTAGGCCTCATGCTACTCCCAGAAGCTCTCAGCAAAACAGTGGGGCCAGTGTGAGTGCATCTGCTCACAACCTTCCGAGGCAGCCAAGCTGCCAGAATTTTAACACATGAAATTATTGAAGAAATAGGAATAGTAGATTACTTCTTGACTTTGTCTGTGTTTATAGAAGTTTGATGTTTGTGCCTTTCACTTGGCTCCCGTAACGCAAACCCCAGCCTCCCAAGTCCTTGCTGGCTGTGCCTGACACGCTCTCCCGTCTTCTCCGCCCCACCCCCAGTGTGAACGCTACCTCTGCTCCTGCTGTGTCTTCACCCTCCGTGTTAACAACCCCATCCAAGATCGAACCCATGAAAGCGTTTGACTCCCGATTCACGGAGCGGTCCAAGGCCACACCAGGTGCTCCTGCCCTGGCTAGTGTGACTGCGACGTCTGTGGAAAGGTAGGTGGGTCTGTGTGGGGCCCCACGAGACCAGAGAGGGTGCAGTCTTGGGCCAGCAGTGCTGCAGTGCCTGCTTTCCCACCGAGCAGCCTGCCTTCACACGGTGGGGCTGACACCCCAGCCCCTCTGTCCTCAGGAGCCCCCAGTTCTGATGAGAAAGGAACAGCTACTTCAGGGTGAAGGAGGCTGGAAAGGGCTGAGGGGTGGGGTGACACCACAGGTACAAAGGACCACAGCTGGTCAGGGCAGAGGCTGTGCTGAGCATCATGTTCGATGGAGCCCAGGGTTTGCCCAGAGGGGGGCAGGAGATTGGCTGGAAGGTTGGGAGGCTCTGCTGCCATTGCACTGGGGAAGGAAGGGCCTTCTGCTCAGACGCTGACCAGGACAGCGGGCACTCACAGAAAAGGGGTGGAGGGGAGGTGTTTGCAAAGTCCTTCTGACCCCACGCACCTCCGAGCTCTTGCAGGCTCTGTGCTGCCTGCCCGTTCCCTGCACCTCCCTTAGAATGTAGCCCCGAGTTACATGGGCTGTAGCTCTTTATTTCTTGGAGCTGCAGGAGGCGCCCTGAGGTGGCCGGTGCGAGTGTCTCGGCCTCTGCCATCGCCGCACAGCTTCTCTTGCCTCCCACCTTGAGGCAACTAGGTCTTGGCAACCCTGGGCAGACATACCCTGGCCTGTGTCACCGTCAGACAGACACAGGGACATGAGTCACAGACTCTTGGCAATGGCCAACCAGCCCGCAGGTGCCCGATGAAGAGCGCGTTTGTGATGAGACCTGACCTTGTAGTACAGTGTCCTGTAACTAAAGCTGCAGTGTGCTGTTCCCAGGGCTTCATTCATGACCTTGAAACACTCATCTGATTAGGATTTGTTCTCCTGGAAGAATAGCCCTTGGAAACCAGCAGCAGAGGACTCTCCCTTCAAGACAGCTACTGCGTCTGTGACCTTGGTGTGGGACATTGTAATTCGACTTTGTAGTATGATCATGCTTGTTTTAGTATACAGATATGTGTGATCTCTTTTTAACCAGTAGCTTCTCTGTCCAGCAACATGGAGGGTCTAAAAGCATTCCTGCTGCTAAATACTTTGAAATGCTGAATGTACTATAAAACATATCCCTAAAAGACGGGACTAGTTCACAAGAAAGTAAGGGAAGTCTCCAGGAGCCAAAATCCAAGAGTAAACAAAACAGCCAAAGCAGTGGGTAGGACCATGACATGAGTAAGGGGTTAGGGGGTCACTGACCTGGTGACCAAGGACCTGGAGTGTTAATGGCCACATAGATTCAAGACAGATTCTGAGCTGTGTAGGAGGTTGTAACTGAGACACTAATGTTAGGTCAAGCTGCTTGAGAAAGTATATCTCCAGTGGACCTGGGGGACTAAAAAATTCCTGAGTGGCCACATGAATACATGACCAAGAAGTTGAAATGTCTCAGCCTGTTCTCTGGGTTAGAAAAACAGTCTTCCCCTGAGACTATACAGCCACAGCCCTGCCCGTACATTGCTGGGGATCAGTTTAATACTACCTGTGTCATCTAGAAATCACCAAGCCAAAAAGTGAACACAAAAAGAGGAGATTCTGGTCTAATTAACACCAGGAGGCTCTTGGCAAAACAAATGCAAGTCCACCATGCCAGGGACAGTCCCCTGACCTGAGGATGTACAGTGTTCCTGCTTAGGAAGCACTGCCCAAGATGCGGACAGATCCAGAGTGACAAAACACGCGAAGAAACCACACTATGCGCGAATGTCAGGAGACATAATGAACAGGAGGCTTAGACCTTTATAAAATTCTGATCATAGAGTTTTCATATGAAAACTTTAAATATGCTTAAAATAATCAAAGACATGAAAGATAAAAAATGTAAGGGAAGAATACACTGTATTATATACAAAAACTGACTCAAAACAGGTCACAGAACTAATATAAGACCTAAAAATTTTAAATTCATAGAAGAAAACATAAATATAAATCTGTGTGACCTTGGATTAAACAACTGTTTCTTAGATACACTACCTAATACATAAGCAACTGAAGGGAAAAATAGATTGAACTTCATCAAAATTTAAAACTTTTGAAATGCTTTGAAGGAGCACTAACAGCAGAATGTAAAGAAAACCTGCAGAATGGGAGAAACTGTTTGCAGGTCGTATCAAAAGATTTAGAATTCAGAATATATGAAGAACTCTTATAACTCAACAGTAAAAAGACTAATAACCCAATTTTGAAATGGGCAAAGAAATTTCTCCAAAGAGAACACGCAAATGACCCATAAGCCCATAAAAAAAATACTGAAGCACATAAAAATTAGCCATCAGGCAAGTACTAATCAAGATCACAATGAGATACCCACTAGGGTGGATATAATGAAGTCAGGTAATAGTGTAGGTGAGGATGAGGGGAAATCAGAACTCTTACAGATTGCTGGTGGCATGTAAAATGGTTCAGCCGCTTTAGAAGACAATCTGGCAGTTCCTCAAATGGTGTTACAGACATAGTGTTATCATGTGAAGCAGAAATTCCACACCAAAATGCATACCTTGGAGAATTGAAAACATGTTCATGCAAAAACTTGCACATGAAATATTCATATCAGTATTATTCATAATGGCCCCAAAGTGGAAACAACCCAAATGTCCATCAACTGATGAACAGATAAGCAAAATGTGGTCTATGTATACAATGGAATATTATTTGGCAACAAAAAGGAATGGAGTATTTAGATGCACTACAACACAGACAGATCTTGAAAACATTATGCCAAGTGAGAGAAGCTCGTCACAAAAGACACACACTGCCTGATCCCACCGATGTGAAATGCCCAGAATAGGCAAGCCCAGACAGACAAGAAGATTAGTGGTGCTGGGGGGGGGGGACGATTGCTGATGGGCAGTTTCCTTTTGGGATTATGAAAAAGCTCTGACATTAGATAATAGTGACGGTTGTATAATCGTACGAACATACAAAAACTACCAAATTCTGTACTTTTAAAAGGTGAATTTCATGGCTTGTGAATTTAAAAAAAAGGAATAATACACCACCAAAAAAGACCAGATAGATGTAGAAATAAACTAAAATATACTTTTGGAAAAGAAAAACAGTGATTGTAATTAAAAAGCCAGTGGACATTCCCAACAGCAGATGAGACCCAGCTAAGAGCATTCGATCTGTTGAGCTGTCTGGTGCTGCACAGGTGAGGAGGTGGAACCTACAGAGAGGCTCGAGATGGGGGATACAGGGAGGGTTCCCAGAGGGCAAGCTGTGGCGTAGCTGTCAAGAGGGGGTGGCTGCTGTTCGACAGCTTTGAGTGTGAAACCTCAGTTTGGGAATGGACTGAGTTCTGAACAGAATAAATAAAATTAAATCCCACCTTAGAGAAACTACAGAGCACCATAGACAGAAATCTGTAATGTTCAGTGAGGAAGCCACCCCACAGTTGTCTTGTAGGTTTCCACAGCCCTTGTCACACCATATCCTGCCTCAAGGAGTGCAAACCCTGCTTTGAGAAGCACATAGGATGCTTCTTGAGTTGGGCTTCCAGAAGGCAAAACATGACTGTCCCGGGCCCTGGCACCACCAGAGCCGGTCTTTCAGCAGCTGTGTCCCCATGTCTCACAAGACCTTCAGCCATTCATACAACTCCAAGGTCTGTAGAGTAAGGGACCATCAAGTTTGTCATTCTTGGTTTCTCACTTGAAAACAGCAGTGAACGAGTGCCTACTCAGAGCTGAGCTTCCTGCTTCCAAAGTAGCGGTGGTGTCTAGTAGGGTCACAAAAGCCTTGTGCTAAAATTCTAAGAGAAGTTGTAGTTGGATCCTCATATGAGGAAAATGAAATAAAACAAAACTAGTATCTTTATTAGAGGCTTTACAGAAAGTGCAGCTTTCTTGATATGGCTGTTTTCTTATATTCTCAGTGAAAGCCAAGAGGAATCCTTTAAACCACCCATCAATGGAAGTTTTCCTTTGGGGCAAGTGTCACATGGTCAGGAATAGTGCTCAGAGCCAGACATCCTGCTGTTGAGTCTCATCTCCCCACTTCCTGGTGGGGTGACCTTGAACAAGACACACAGTCTTTCTGAACCCATCTCCTAGGCAGAATGGCTGCCTGAGGAGAACCTACCTCACAGGAGTTGGGTCCTGAGGACTGAAGAGGGCGTGCCTGTAAAACCATGTGCTGAGCCTGGCCTCGCAGTGGCTGGGCAGTGAGGTTCCTACGACCTGACCAGCACGTCTTAGCCTTAGATGAGTCTGGGGACCGAGCGCTACCCCCTTCGGCACAGAGGGGCAGCCCTGTGTGTCAGTGAGCGGTGTAAAGAGGCCCAGGTTGGCCTGAGCAGGCAGGACCTAGGAGGGAGCCAGTCTGTAAGCTGGGAAGCTCTGGCCAGCTGTGCTTTTCCTCAGCTGATGTCAGGTCCAAGGGGCACCAGCGCTCCCGGGGTTCCTGGGTGACTGCTGGTACAGATCCACACAGGCTGGCAGGTGCAGTTCTCAGTGAGCTCCTGGCCTCAGGGGCCCTGAATGGGGTGTCAGGCCAAGCATGAGGTGCGGAGACTGCTGAGGGTTCTTGCAGACGTCCCAGCCACAGACAGTGGAACAGACTGAGTTGGGGCACTGCCAAGCAAAGTGAGGTTCATGGGCCATTGTCGGGATGAGCTCAGAAAGGGATCAAGTAGTTTAGCAACTCATGTGACAGTCACTGCTATGACATTCTTCCTGTATCTTGCAAAACTATATAGTTAGACAAAAATCCAAAAATTTTAAAAAGGACTTTTAAGTGGACTTTGCAAAGTACTAAGGGTTTCCAGAACATCAAGTTACACCCAGAAGTGGGTGCTTTGCCCTGTTGTAGGGCATCAGAAAAATGGAGACCAGCCTCTTTGGTTTCATGGAGCAGAGTCAGAAGTTTCTGGTTTTTCCTATGAGTACCAATACAGTTCAGGACTGTATGTCCTGGGTGTATCTACCCACATTTCTCTGACCGTGGTCTACCAGTAA